GTATAAAAATCTTGACCTGCAATATATTTTGAATTCTTATAGCAGTAGGTTTCGTAGTCCATAACAATGCAGTTGTATTTATTAATTTAGAATTCATACAACTTCCGAATGCGGGATTTCGCTGTAACATTCTACTTTGCGCCTCGGTCTGGCGCTGTTTGAGCTGTAGAACATCTCAATGAAGCTTTCCGCTTTACCTTTTGTACGAAAAACTGCGATCTCCGTACGGATTTTGCAACATAACGCGACAAAATCTTCGGATCTCGCGAAAACGCACTGAGGACCTTCCGAGCACTGTTTTTATCACTTTGACCATGCTAACCCCCGCTCCCTGGTTTTCTCGTAACTGTCAGGCCTTATTTGTACCGATTAAAACCCTGCAAACTGTCGAATAGTGCACTCTTTAATTTTTTAGCAATTTTACGTGTACTTAAGGCCGGATCATTTATAAACTCGTGCAAAATGGTTTGTCTCGTTTCTAGCTCGGTTGCCATTTTTAACTCAACTAGGAATCAAATTCAAATGAAATTTCTTCTACGTTCAACTAAGGTCATGGTCAACTTATGGTATTTGAATTTCAAAATATTGAATTCGTTTTGGGTAAGTTATAAGCTTCCCAAAGTGTCGCAGTTTTGGTGTGTTCACCCTTTAAATGCTAACTTTGGCACTTTTGGTGGACAAAAACTATGTTTCGTTCGACTTCCTACTATAAAAAAATGAAAGACCTTGATATTTTCCATCGATTTTTGAAAAAAAAAATTTTGCACATACATACATATTGCGACTTTTAACATAACCTCATATAGTATTGATAGCATTTATGGTATTTTTAAGGCGTGTTTGGGGTTAAGTTTGCATGGGAAGTATGTGTTAAATTAAACCGATTACGCCCATTTTTCGAATGTATAGTTATAATATTTTTACAACCATATGGCCTTTTAAGGCGTTTTTGAGGTTAGTTTTGTATGGGTGGTATGCTTTTAAATCAACCGATTATGCCCAATTTTTGAGGGTTCACACATAACTTTATTAAAAATATATGAACAAATTTTCGGTCTCATATATTCATGGGTGTGTTTTTAAAGCATTTTAAGGCATTTTTGAGGTTAGGTTTGTATGGGAGGTATGCTTTAAAATAAATCGTTGCGTCTATTTTTTTGAGTTCATATATTATGTTATAACAAACATATGGACTAAATTTCGGACTCATATATTCATCTGTGCACTTTTTATGGAATTTTTAAAATGTTTTTGAGGTTAGGTTTATATGAGAGGTATGCTTTAAAATAAATCGATTACGTCAATTTTTCGTTTTTTTCTTTAATTTATGTCCATAAATGTAACATACGGGAAATTGAGGTTCTACGCCGATTGCTTCTAATTTTTTCCAAAAAATGTATGAGGCTGTACCACTATGCACCGCAGAGCTTTAGGGCCAGACACAAAAACAAAAGAAAAAATTGAAAAAGTCAAGCGTCATGTATGTATGTATATGTAAATATGTATATGTGTAAGTAAATACGCCTTAAAATATGCGTCGTCGTGTATGTATTGAAGACAATTTCGCGACGTTTGCCGTAAAAATCAATACGCTGAACCGCTGGGGCAGCGAGCGCGCAACAACGTAGGACGGGCCAGACACTGTGTACGTGAATGGCAAATGAGTGAGATATAGTAAGAGCTAAAAAGAGGGATAGAAAAATAAGTTGTATGAAGCGAAGGGAAGTCAGTGGCAGACAATAATGCTGCAGGCGTGCTGAGTATTTAGGTGCAAGCGTAGGTCACAATGAACCTGCAGGCGCTCACCCACTGTTGCCGCCTAAGCGCTCCTGCTGAGACAAAAGACTGAGTTTTGCCTTTGCTTTCGGTTTTCTTTTTAGTGCAGCTTAATGGAATTGGAAATTGAGAGAGGTATAGGCAAAAATATAGGAGTAGTTGTGCTCACTAAATAGTTGAAATTTTAATACAATAAAAGATTTAGTGAAAGCCGCGGTAATAACTCGACGCGCAGACGAGTGCCGTTGTTGCTTGTTAAGCAGCTTGCTATATTTATTTGTATGCATTTCTACGCGCTTTCCTAAGCCACCTTTTACGGCTACGCGCCTCAAAGTAGGTTGCATATTTTAGCGTAGATATTCCACGCAATTTCCTCGTGACTGCTCTGTGACAACTGCTTCCATACAATCACATAGCAAAAACTACTGTTTAGTCTCGCTTTTCGTTTCTTTTTTACAAGCTATTTTTTATTTTTTTTTCTTTTCTCTACTTCCCTTTCATTTGCGCTCCTTCCACCCTCACTATCTCAACTCTGAGCCAGCATGCATGAATGAACGGTGTTTGCCCGTTACCTCGACCCATACTCGAGCGCGTGGTCGCTACGCAAGGCATGACGGGAAGAGCCCTCTATTTGAATGGCTGCATCCGGCTAGTATATATCCGCGCGGCTGTATGCTGTTGGCTGACTTTATATTTGCGAGCGCATTGCTTACTTGTTTACTCGTTTTTCTACGCTTGAATGGGTTCGAGCTCATTGACTTGGTGGTTGGGTTGATGAGCGCTGGCGAATAAAGATTGCGGTGCGTTCAAGAGGGCGAAAAAAATCGTGTCACGCTCGCAATGCATTTTGGTCTGTGATGCGACGGAATGCAAGATGAACGTATCAGATGAATGTCAGCACAGTTTTTTAACCTGGTTTTATATGCTGTTTTTCCCTTTTATACATAAATATGTATAGCTTTGTAGGTAAGCCGCATAATCAAGCGAAAGATAGCAGAAAAACTGATATCGCAACTTTGCAATTTAATGAGCTTTGGGAAAATGAAACTGATGATTCGTGTGCCATTTTCTTATTTAATTTACTAAATGAGAGAGTCTTTATTTAATTTGTAATTCTTTCTGTGTCATTGCATTTTCGCAATGTAGTGCAAATTCGGTTCCATTATATGTAATAATAGCCATATAGAGTGTTGATATGTTTAGAAAGGACTTACACTAACGACCCGTTAGAAGTATTTATTTACATATCAGCGATCGCGTAAGGACAATTGGGACGACTAGGAATGACGTGCCGCTTTAAACAAAGAAAATGTCGGCTATAGGACCACATTACGATCGATATAGGTAACAATGAAAAAAGAAAACAAAAGCGCCCGGTGATTCTAAAATAATGCTAAGAGACTTACGGGAAGTTTTAAGACAAATGGAGATATTTGAAAGAAAACGACAACCTAATTACCGCAAGCAGATACGGCGATGAGCATTTCCACCAGCTCCGTCGGAATTGGGAAGGGCCTCTTCATCCATGTCCGAGAATTCCCCGACTTTCCCTACTATTCTTTATAATATCCTCTTGAAAATTACAACAAAACTGAATGTGTGTCTCTCTTATTATTTGAAAGGAAACTCAGGAAAGAAACAATTTTGAAAAAAATTTATTCTTTTAAGATTTGATATTTTTGACCGCCATATTGGACCTGCCATTTTGGATTTTTGCAAATCTGACTTCATATTCGTAACCAGCGACCTCAAGAACCCATTATTGCCAAGATAAAAGTAAATCCATCAATATTTATAAACAAAACTTTGAGGTTAGAAAAAAAATTCTAAAGTGATGGATCAAACCGGACTTCAGATTCGTTTTCAGCTATCCTAAAAACATATTAAACACCTCTTCTGATCAAATCAACCTTGAAAACTGAGTTTCCATTTTTTTACGAATCGAGATAGATATAGACAAATGTATACATAAACGATCAGAATGAAAAGAGAAATCGATTAAGCCATGTCTGTCTGTCCGTCCGTCTGTCCGTCTGTCCGTCCGTCCGTGTACACGATAGCTCGAGCAAAAATTGAGATATCTCAACGAAATTTGGTATGTAGGTTTCCATTTATCCAAGGTAGGTTGGTATTGAAAATAGGCGAAATCGGACTGTAACCACGCCCACTTGCCATATAACGGTAATTTAGAGAAATACGAAAACTGTGATATTTTAGTAACTACTGGAGATTATTCACTCAAAATTGATATTTACAATAAGTTTTACACGAAAAATAAGGATATTATAAATTTTCGGAAAATGGGCGTAGCCACGCCCACTTATGGTTACATGCGTATATCTTGGTAACCGCTGCACCAATTTCTTCCAAACTTGGCACAGTTATTGGCCTTCACACAACATACCAAATGGCCGAAATTTTTTAAAATCGGACAATAACCACGCCCACATCCCATATAACGGTAATTTAGAGAAATACAAAATCTTCAATAAATCAGTAAATATTAAAGCTAATTTATTCAAAATTGATGCTTGCGCCAATTCTTAACCAAGAAATATGTTTGTGATACAATTTTGGAAAATGGGCGCCCACTTATGATCACATATATGTATCTCGGTAACCGTTCTAGCGATTTGTAAATCGGACTAGAGTTACGCCCGCTTTTCGTATATATTTCAGAAATGCTTGAAATTTCAATATTTCGAAATTTAAGGACGCTAATTTACTCAAAATTGGTACACCCCGGCTTACCATGTAGCGGTAGCTTTCGTAAAGGTGAAAAAACATATATTTAATACGTGCGCCGGGTATTTAATGTTCGGCTTTGCCCGAACTTAAACTTTCATACTTGTTTTAATTAGATTTCTTAGAAAAATTTTGAGTGCACTTTTTTGGCAGTTTTTTGTTGTTGGAGGTTTCCGATAGTATCGCGATATTGGCTCCCATTCATCGATAGTGGTATCCAATTGAAACTATCGATATTATCGATAGTGCCATCGGTAGTTTTGCAGCTATACTGTTGGCAACTTCAAAGTTTTTTCGGGTATTTATTTAGCTTATCATACATTTTTATATTCACGAAATATTGTTTTAAATTATCGGCATACCTTAAATCAAAGGACAAAAGAGTTCGCAAAGTGGGGAATGCACCATCAAAGAACTATATTTCCTTTGTCGTAATTACGAAAGTAAATAGCGCAATTCACTTTGTTCGGAGAACAATTCACAAAACTCGTTTCTACAATTCATGCAATTTCATTCACCCCAAAGAAAAGTCAACCGCGAGCAGCAAAAATCGTTGAACTCAACAAGGGAAATGCACGAAATGCTTTGTGTGTATTTATGAATAGCTGTGCGTTGACAAAAAGAAACGAGAAAAAAAATACGTAGGTACAATGCATATGTACGTACGTAAATATGTGCATTAGGGCGGGTAATTTTTTTTTTTTAATTTTCGCGTAAGTCTAAAAAAATTTGCCGAAGTAACCACGGGCCTAGAATCAATTTGGAGTTTGCCCTAATTGCGAAAATAAGTTTCGGAGAAAATGTGAAATTATTCACTGTTGCGCCCTCTTGTGTATGTTTTAAGAAAAAGTTAAGTGCAGAAATGGTTTTCCTATACCAAAACAAACCCCGTATAGAACGTTTTTATACAAACCTTAAGCACTTCTTTCCGACACTACAGCAAAGTGCTAAAAAGCTATAGTCGAAAAAATCTCCCATACAAATTGACCCGCCCTAATGAACATACATACGTAAGTCGCAGTGGATAATGGAAGCCGTAAATGAAAGCGGATGAAAATGAAATGCTTTAAAAGCGATTTAAAAAATAAGTTTATAAAAAATGTTTGATAACGAAAGAAAATGTAAAGAGATAAAGCTCCCCACTGATGTGCGACCATGTGGAATGCGTCCGCACACAAAGATAAAGAAAAGTCAAAAAGTTGTTGGCCACAAAGGTGTATGGCTAAGCTCTCAGACGAGGCAGCACAAAGGATTTACTAAAAATAGAAAACGCGAATGAAATCACTGAAAAAGCAACGGAACGGCAAGCAACGTGATAACGCTTGAAATAAAAAATAATTTTTTGAGGAAATGTTGGCGAAATGCAACTACTATGTGGCTTGCACGCCACCGAGCACAAAGCAGTTCAAACCTACCCGCACCCGCAGCACCACCAACACTACAACATCACCCTACCAACCATTGCAACACCTTGGCCGCCTTTTCTTAGCGCAACCACATACAAAATACAACAACAAAATGCCAGAAACTTTTAATGAAAGGCATAAAATGAATTAACAAAATCTGCCTCAAAGCGGTGTAAATGCATCACGCCGTTACGTTGGCAATGCAGCGCGCTGTTGCATTTTGCTGTTGCACAAACTGGCATAAATGCTGCTGCGGCCAATGGCTGATATGCAACAACTTTCGCCGCGACTGGTGCATAGAGAATCCATGAAAGGTTAACTAAATGAAGCAAACGCTCAGGTACAATAAACATTGCGCACTCACGCACGCACACACACGCGCACACTTGAAATGACACGTTCGTGACAGCACGCATAAATCTAGGTCAAATTATGCTGGGCCATAGCCTCCTAGAAGGGCACTGAGCGCTGCATATGGATACGGTGAGTGGCAGAGCACGCAGTGCGAACGAGTAAGTGAGCATTTACATATTTACGTGTTGTGTAGCATACTTTGAGGCTATTTGCATGGCAGGTAAACACAACTGGTTGGTTGTGCGGAAGTAATGCGTGTGGCAATGAATAAAAATAAATAAAATACAATAAATGCGGAATCGATTTTTGTAGGTTTTAAAGCAGTATATATGTATATACATATGTATGTATGTGTATTGAAGCCGCTTACCTTTTCATGTGAATCCACGTTTACCTTATTGCCTGTATTTTTGCTTGTTTTGATTGGCTGCCTCTTCATTCGCGCGTAACTAGGACATGTGCCAATAATGCAATTTTCATGCTGCTTCACAGTAAAATGCCCTGCAACAGCAACAGCAACTACAGCAATGTTTACTTTAACCAAAAAAGCAACAAAAAGTCGCAAACATTTGTCCTGCCTAACTGTAATTCTACGCCCGCTTGATGACGTCATCCATGTCGAGAATCGCTGCAATTGACGTTGCAAAAATTATAAGCAGCACAAAAAATAAATAGTTCACTCGCTTCTGCTCTACTTGCAGGTAGGCTCCTGTTCTCTTACACCATGCCTTAAATCTCTTATTTTTTAACATTTCTAATTTCTTTTTTGTCACGGAAAGTCAGTTAATGCAACGAAAAGCGTTGCAGGTTTGTACTCGTTTTATGCTATGTATGCACTCTAGTCTTGAATGCATCTACAAGGCAAATTCTACATGCATACACATACATATACGGAGGAATGTTGAAACACATACACATGTACTTTTGCTCTTACAAATTTTGCTCTCCAATTTTCTAAGGCTTGCCATATATCAATTTAATACTTAGTCATCCTTCAGAATTGTTCGTTTGCCTAAGAAAGTGAGCCTTCCAAAATTTTTTGGAGTTTAATGGGTGACTTTCCTTCTGTCAGTCCTTAAGAGTTGACTTCATTCCCTTGGCCTAAAATGTCGTTACAAAGGTTCGGAAACGTGAAGTCGCATTTCCAGGATTACGTGCGAAGCATCAAGCAATTTTCCAACACAATTGTCGGTATACGTATTATTGATGTAGTTATCGATATATTATATACTAGCAAATGCCTGGCTTGCTTGGCGACGCTTTATAAGAACTTTTACGTTGACCAATACAAAAATGGGGTTGCTATGCAAAAACGGTTTGTAATGTAAAATTTATTAGTTTAGGTTGAAAGGACTAAAGAGCAGAACCTTGCTTACTCATAGGCCGAGAATAATAGCGCTGAGATAGCATTTGGGTTAAGTACTAATATTCTTCGATGTTATGAGCTCTTATTTCCACTTGTGAGATATCTGTACGTATTGCAAGGTTTGCCAAGAGTGCGTAATCTTCTATAATCATCCTGTTTCCAGGATGAAAGTTTACCCGTTCATACGGGGTCATTGATATTCCTACCAGGGATTGGCATTGGTTGATCGTCAACTGTTCATACTCATTCAATACCGCTGCTTTGTATGACTGAGCAGCGGCGTTGGCTTAGTAGTATCGATATCTAAACGAAATTAGAGGATGACTGAACACGAGCGCATTGCGTGCTGTCTTGCAAATACAGCCACCACAAGTGAACGATGCTTATAACTGCTCATACTGATATTGACTTCGGCAAATCTGTACTCTGAATGATCGTGCACGAAACCAGCAAACGTGGCAGTTGAACGGCTCCGAAAACATGAGAGTCATCATTTGTTGCAGAAGTCGTTTGACTTGTTGCTGAAAATCATCTGACTTGTTGCTGAAAGCCATTTGACTTGTTGCTGAAAATCATCTGACTTGTTGCTGAAAATCATCTGACTTGTTGCTGAAATGACGACGAATGTGGTAAAGGGTAATTTATCGTCTCGTATGCATGTATGTATGTATTTATAGCGCGTCTACCATTCAATTGCATTGCTCACTGCTGGCTAGTTGTGAATATGCATACGTACGTAAGTATGTATGTATGTACATATCAATGCTTCATTTCAAACAAGCAAGTGTCTTTGAATGTTTTTGAACTACAGTATCATCACTTCGGCAACACGTCAAACGCGCCTTCAGCAACAAACCAAAGGCTGCGGTTTGACTCTGCAACAAATCAAGTTAGCTAACTGCGGCATCTTGCCTTCGCCAGTCTTTCACATAAGCTGTCATGCTTTCGGCAACCGTCCAAAGCAGTATCGTGCTTTTGGCAGTCGATCAAATACGGCGGTTGCTGGTTTCGTGCACGATCATTCGGAGTACAGATTTGCCGAAGTCAATATCAGTATGAGCTGTTATAAGCATCGTTAACTTGTGGTGGCTGTATTTACAAGACAGCACGCTTTGCGGTGGTGTTCGTTCATCCTCCGTTTTTAACGTGAGTAGGCTTAAAGTCACAAAAACAGCACCCTTTGCCAATGTCTGATTCCTACCGTATTTTTCTTAATCATTTATATTCCTACCGTATTCTTTTTATCATAAAGTTAATACCCGTTACTCCTGGTCATACGATAAAGACGGGGTCTCTAAATATCTCGACTCCGGCGCCATCTGTCGGCACCATTTTTTGCGATGCAGAGCAGAATTTCATGTGACATATGATTCCGAAGTTATGGTTGATTAAAAATGTCACGCCTATGGGAGGTGCATCGCCCTTTGTCAGGTTTCATTTATACCCGAGGTTACGTCCGAGGTCACTCTCTATATACCAGTTAAAGCCCCATGAAAATCCTTTCAGTAGTTCCGGAGATTAGTGAGTTCAAACAGACAAACAATGTACAGTTTTATTATAGTATAGATTATTATTATTATTTTTATTATTATTATTATTATTATTATTGGTCTATAAAAGATATTCTGACAAACATATTCTGAGCGTTCAGAATATATGAGTCTGAAAGGAGTCCTAGGTGGGTAAGAAATATGAGCTTCAAAAACCAAAAATGTGTGACTCTTATATGAATATTTTAGGAGTTATAAATGATCGAAGTTAGGAGCCAGCACTTTGTGGCTATATAAAAACAATAAAGATTCGAAATTTATATCTAAACTTGTTTATACAGAAATTGAAAATATTTAGAAAACAAAAATATACAAAATTTAGCTGCAGCTGCTGCTATTAAATGTATGCTGGAATGTTTATATGAACTGAGGTATGTACTTATATACATACATGTGTATAGTATTTGAAGTTCAATAAGAGTTGAAAAATAAGGCCAATATGGCTCAAAGAACAACATAAAATAAGAGTCCGAATGAATTTATTTATGAGCACTATAAGATACATTTAAGAGCCTCGAAAAAACTCTGAAACGATTCATATATGAAGCCAATAAGAGTCCCATATGACTCATTTGGAGGCTCATTTGATGTATGAATTTAAGCTCATATAAGTCGACCTTCGGAGGAAGGAAAACACACTAATTTCGGGCTCTTAAATGAGCTCATTATGAGCGTAAAGGCTCCGAAATGGGACTCCTTAAAGACTAATTTATGACTCCAAATGTATATTTCATTAACATGTACATATCTCTCGCTCATAGGGAAAGCACTAATTGAATTTTGTTTTTCGTTTTGCGCATGCATTTTCTTTTTGCTTTAAAATTTCAATACTTCACAAATTAAAAAAAATAGTTTTTATCGATAAGTCAATGCTGAAACCACAACCTTTATTTCCTTTTAAATAAATTTCTTTTAATTCCGCAAATTAGAAATTCGCTAGAAATGTAAATACATAATTAATTCCAAATGTCAATTCTTGACTCAAGGGAATGCTTCGAACTATGTATATCCGCTTAATTCACAGAACATGCTTTTCATGTGAGCGTTTTCAAAATATCTAATTAATTTGTATGTACAAAATCCCATAGTGATACACGAAACACAAAGAAATTTAAATAAATCAGTTTCTACCTACCGATTATCACTTACGGATTCTTAGAAATACGCCACTCTTGTAAGACACAAAACTCCGCGAGAAACGTTTAACCTCGTATGTATCTATGTTCAAGACCGTATTCAATATGTACGAACGACACTAATTACTATTTCAGTTGAAAAAAAATATCAATAACGAAAAATAAACATTGGCATATGTTGATGCCGTTGAAAAGCAAAATTGTATTCAAAAGAATTTGGTGCAAAGTAAATTTTGTTTGCAAAGATTGGTATATCTTTTTTGTCCACATTCCAGTTTTGATAAAATATAGCCTATGTCACGTCCGAGGTCACTGTCTAGATAACAATTAAAGCCCCACGAAAATCCATTCAGTAGTTCCGGAGATTAGTGAGTTCAAACAGAAAAACAATCTACAGTTTTATTATAGTATAGATATATTTTTGTCAGTTTCAAAGGGATTCAGTAGCGCATTTCAAGGTCACTGAGCACCCTGTACTGGTAACAGTAGAAAATTGAATGTTCGTATAGATATTACAAATGCCAAAAGGATAAAACAAAGAGGGTGCCCTGTTTTCTACGATGACATTTTTTTAGCACATACAAAATTATAACCCCTCTAATATGTATACATACATATGTACATACAGTAACGAACAAAAGTATTGGCACAGAAAATTTTTCGCAATATATACAAAATTGTTTATTCTAATTTCTTTTCCATAATTTTTTATACAAATACAATTCATACTTCACCAAAAATCATAGAAATAAAATCTCTAAACTTTTCAGTATGAAATCATTTTCAACGAAAAATTTAATCAGACAAATTTCAGGAAAACAGCCGAAAGCGCATCCGTTTCACAATAATTTTCGATAGTCTTCTGTACATATGTATGTTTCCGATGAGCACTTTGGGGGGATAATGGATGCGAAAAACGACCGGAAACCGAATGAAAAACAGGGTTTCATACGAAATGCTTGCCATTTTCGGATACATTTCCGGACATTTTGCTGGCTGGGATGTTACATAAAAAATAAGAATTTTAAAAATTTATTTATTTATTTTGGCCATCCAGTTTGTAATAATACTTTTGTAAAGAAAAAATTTGCTAATTTCTAATTTAAAAAAAAAACAGCCAAATTCGAAAAAAGGAAAAAAACTACCAAGTTTGGTTGGAAGCAACCAACAGTGGCAACCGTGGTTAAAAGTTTAAAGTTATGCTACACTCTCAGAATGCACCTCTAATTTTTTGCTGCTCTCTGTTTATCTGACTCTCTACAGTCATCACCTGCATTCTGCAGGCTGCATATATTGCTCTTCCATAGGCATATATGTATGTACATATATATTTATATCATTCTAGAAACTACGAGTACACTCTTGTGACCCAGCTTCATACGCCATGGCATACGCTGTTAACGTACAGACGACCGACAGCAACATGCAATTTGGCTCATCTCGAAGCCAATGATCCCTAACAGTGTTATCACCCGAAGTAACCACCCCCTGTGTCGCATCTTCATTCACTTTCTAACACCCTAACGCTCAGTTTGGATTTGGTATTTGCACAGTGAGAAGCGCCCGCTGATAGAAATCAAACACCCTCCGACAGCTAACAAGAGTTGGGTCATTGAACCGGGTAGCTGTGGTTGCCAGCCAATGCACTTAATGGATGTTTGCACTACTCGAATGCAGGCGTTGCCTTATGCTATTCACATGCACACATAATAGTTGTTGCTTTATATATACTAGATGTAGTTTGTTTTGTTTGGCTTCCTTTTGTTTTTTTTTTGTCCTGATAAATGCCACTACAACAGTTTTTAATGCTACTCTCCTTCTTTTTATTGCTGGTATTTTCAATGCTTTTCAGACTTTTATTTACACGAAGCCCTTACTGCGCTCAATAGCAAGGAAACTTATGTAAATCAAATGTGCATACATACAAATATGTACGTAGTGTAGGGGTATGCAGGGTGTATATGTTTGTAAGTGAATTGGGGACACACTAATATTTTGTTGTCACCTCTGACAGTGCTGTAGCTATGAGTATGCATTGTAGCACACAAGGGTTAAAGAGTTCATTGGTTCATGTTGCTTCTATATTTATGAGGATTTTGAAATGATCTCCATTTTGACACATAATCGAATTATTGCACAACAATAAATTAAACGATTTTGGGAAAATGCTTGTTTTTTATTTAGATTGGTTCAGTGCGCAGAAGTCCACGTAAATGGACGAAGCTTTCGACTGTTATTTATCCGGCAGTGGCCTGAATTGATTCTTTTGCGTACGGTTCAAATCACAGCTTACTATGTCCAGATATTTATATCTACACTGCGTTGCATGACTATTAAGAAGCTTTTACTGCTTGACTTTATATTATTTAATTTAAATTATTTTCTTATAAAAATATATTTCATTCTACAATAAACACCATACAAATCCACGCTTCAAACTTTGTGCAAAAATTATAAAAATGTGGCGAACTTTCATCAAAATTTTACACTTTCTTTTAAAGAATTTTTGGAAAAGTTTTGCGTATGAAGTTCTATAGCCATTCAATTCAATGTAGCAAGTTTGAAGTGGATTCAAAACTTATTTTTGGTTGTTTGTGTTTCCGACATGGATTCAAAACATCGCACTTTGGGGTATTTGACCGATTTAGGCGGCCAAAATTATTTTAATGAAAATGTTAACTCAAAATATTTAGAAACGACGTGTTGCAATATTTAAAACTGTAAATGTTTAAAATCAAGTAAATAGAGTGGGAGGATGTCCAAGTATTCGACCAAAACAACGAAAATAAAGTTGCTTGAAGTTTGACATCGATAGACTCCATGGTATCGAGGTCCGATTGTGGAAACATTTATATCTAGGTTAGAATATAAAAAGGGTTGCCACCTGCTAAAAAATCAAATGCAATTAAGTTAAATGAGTACTACAATATGGGTATCAATCGAGATTTTTTTGAAAAGGCTTTATTTCTAAACAACATGTGGGAGGATTGCCATCTGTTTAAAAATTAAATTCAACTTTAATTCAAGGGGAATTAGATAACTGAAATATATATAACAATATTGGTGTCAGACTGAAAAGTTTAATAAGGTTATAGTTTGAAACTATTTTTAACAGGGCTGTCACTTGCTTAAAAGTTAAAGTCAATGTATATGATAGGTTAACTTAATTTTAACAATATGGATATGGAACATGAGATGGTTTGCCACCTGTCAAAAAATGCAATTCAATTAATTTAAATGAATTACTACGCTAAGGGTATCATCCAAAACGGCTTTGAAAGGGCTTAATTTTCAATAACATTTAGTAGGATTGCTACCTGTTTAAAAAAAAACCAAATTAAATCAAAATAACATATGATTGAAAAAACACTATACGGAGTAGCCATTATGTTGAGTTTTACTGAAATAATTTGCACCTTATCTAACACACAGAAATTTCATACACTCATCGAACTAACTATAGTATATAGTAGTTGGTTTTATTTGAAATGTCTTTTAACTTTCATTTTTTAGTGAATCTTTTGTGCCTTCTTAGAATTAATAATTATAAATAACTTCGAATACGTGGCAACTTTTTACAAATATCTCCATATACCCTTAAAATTAAAACCATTATCTGAATACAAAATTCCATCAAAATCGTTAGAGTCGTTTCCTAGAAACCTTTGGATATACATATATATGTACATCCATATTTACAAGAATTGACTGTTTAAGTAATGAGATACATACACATATCGAGCCCTAATTGCCAAAATAACGTAAGCAACTTTTTTTTTTAAATTTTCCTTTTGATGCAGAAATGCATCTAGATGATCTAGGAATATTTCTGCATCAAAAAGAAAATTTAAAAAAAAATGTCGCTTACGTTATTTTGGCGGTTAGGGCTCGATATGCAGTTTGAGAAAAAAATCGTACGATTTTACTGCCTTAAAAACTTATTTGCAAATTTTTACTAGAACTTACCCTTAAGTAGAGAATTTTTTTTCTAAATGTACTGACAACTATTTTCTCCCTGCAACTCTCCAAATTTTTATATTGAATCCCTCCTCCCCCACCGGCTCAGCCCCCCCTCTTAACGTTGTCGGTCGTCTTGACTTTCCTATCACCCCACTTTACTCATTGAACACTATTACAGAAAACCCTGTACATGTAAAGAAAACAGGTACAGTACTGCGCAGTATTTTCGGTTTATTTTTCGGCAGTAGTAAATATTTCCAATGGTCAGTGCACAGCAAACGCACCTTTTCAGCAGCAAGCAAGAATCTCAGCGCCGTTGAGTGGTGTAACATAACTTTATGACTGTAGTTTATTTCTCTAATCCATTAAAATTTGCAGAAATACGATATTTTTCCTTGTAGCTCTGCCGGTACCAGTTCATATTATATTTGTATTAAACTATTTGAATCATATGGTATTTCTCTGCTTTACAATTATCTAATTTAAAATAATTTAAAAAATGAACACACGATTTAAAGCTGATTTTTACAACTTCGGCTTGTATTAAACACATCTAAAAACCGAATAAACAATTATAAAAAGCGCACTTTGACAGCGTGGTGCGAGCGCATTAAAGCAAAGAGGGATTAAAAAATAACAGAATCTAGTCAAGAATTATATTCTCTTCACCCTATATTCAGTTAAAAAAGAAAAAAGTCCGTTTGGAAAATTCGACTTTTGGCCGCCTAAATCGGCCAAATACCCCTCTGTGCATCGTTGACTTTTGGCAACTTTTTTTTTGTTTACGGTGTCACTCAGTTTCTTCCATACAAAATATGTTCGAAAATTTTTCTCAAAGTATTTTCGGTTATTTACATGAGTAAGTAAACACACTATAAAATAGGCAAAAATTTACAACCGAAATTTGGAGGTTATGTTGAAGTTGCCAGAAGCTACCATTTTTTACTAGAAAGCGATCCCATACTTTTCAATAGTGGCGTTCCAGATGCTCACAATATTCACGATTTGCATTTTTTTTTAGAGGAAAGCATTCCAGGTGCCAAAATAAGACCTGTAAGTCAAAGCACTTTTGTGAGAGTAACTTGCACTCTCATTCAAGAGATTGATTTTTTATTTGAGAGTTTTACAGGTTTTCACACGAAGTTATCTGGAACGCAACTAGTGTTACTCTCTCGCTCTGAGCGAATTAGGACTTTTTCAGTTTAACTTGTTGTAATCCGAGGAATGCGGGATTGGACATATAATTTGTACACAATCAACCTTATCCTGCGTTTCGACGGAAAAAAAATCCACTCGAAAATTGTTCATCTGCCCATAGTAAATACACGGAAACCAAAAGTGAAATGTGAACCGGTTCGGGGAAAATGAAACTCGTGATAAGGCTGAATATGTGAGCTGGACCGATTTGAAAATACCTGCAAAAATAGAGTTATGAATAAAATTAGGTTTAAAAATAATTTTGTTACAAATGTTCACGTAAGACGGTAAACGAGTTTAAGCTTAGAAGGTGTGCATAAAAATTTTTAAAAATTCTATCGGAGGTATTTTCAAGTCGGTTGAGCTCACGTAAATCT